CTAATATATTTCTTTTAATTGGAAAGTTGAGGCCATTTACATTCAGTGTTTCCACAAATATGTATTGTTTTATGCCATTTCAGTTTATTTGCTGTATTTAATTCCATTTTTATTTTCATTTAGCTTGTTGCTCTTCTATTGATCTTCATCTATTTGAGAACTTTGGGGTTTTTTGGGGGTCCCTTTATGTGCAGTATATCTTTAAGTATTCTTTGTAGTGATGATTTAGTGATCATGGATCTTTTAGTTTATCCTTGTCACTGAAAGTTTTTATTTTGAAAGGTAGTTTTGCTGGATATAGCAGTCATAGCTGGAAATTGTCTGCTTTTAGAGCTTGAAATATCTCATTCCAGGTCCTTTTGATTTTAGGATCTCAGTTGAGAAGTCAGAAGTCAGACTTATTGGTTTGCCGCTAAATGTGACCTGGTACTTTTCTCTTGCAACTTTTAATATTCTGTCCTTATTTTACATGTTAGGCATTCTAATTATTATGTGTCTTAGAGAAGCTGTTTTGACCTTTTCTATTTGGTGTCCTGTAGGCTTCCTATAAGTGGATGTCTATCTCATTTCTAATATGGGGAAATTTTTCTGTTACTATCTAACTGAAAATATTCTCAACGCATTCAGCCTGTATCTCCATGTTCTCTTCTATCCCGATGACTCTCAGGTTTGTTCTCTTGATGCCATCCCTGAGTTCTTATATATTCTGATCATGGTCCTTTTTCTTTTTCCTTTATTACATACTGAGTATTCAAGTTCATATATCCCATCTTCAAGGCCTTAAGTTCTATCTTCAAGGTGTGAAGTTCTGTTTTCTATGCAATCTAATCTGTTGGTGATGCTTTCAAGTGAATCTTGATTCCTTGTGTCTTCTAGGAGTTCTGATAGGTTTCTTTTTTTTAAAACCACTTTATATTAGCTCCTCAATCATCATCTGAAAAGAAAACATTCTAGAGTAACATCATTAAAAACAGCTCTGATAAAGTACATTCACTACTATGTATTATAAAGCAGGTACAAGAGGTTTTACATTCACAGAGTATGATACGTACTGTCCTACATCTATAATACCTGAGGATACAATTAAAAAGGCAATTATTTGAGACTTCATTCCACTTTTCTAGCAGAGAACCCAAAGGATGGTATGACACAGCTCTGTAAAGAAATGTACTTCCTTAGGATTTCCTTTTGATAGGTTTCTTTTCATTATCTCTATTTATTGAAATGGCCTTTGATCTCCTGTATTTGTTCTCTTAGTTCATTCCTTAAATCTTCTCTTAGTTCAATGAACATTTTAATAATCAGCAGAATTTCATCCATAACTGTGGGATTCTTTTTTGGGGGATAATGAATTTGGAGGGAGATTATTTGCCTATTTCCTCATGTTTTCAAAAATCTTGGAATTGGGACTGGGGCTGCAGCTCAGTGGCAGAGCGCCTGCCTCACACGTGTGAAGCACTTGGTTCAATCCTCACCACCACATAAAAATAAATAAATAAATATATTTTTAAGAAAATATTGGATTTGTGTATTGATTGAAATGAGTGCCCCCTTCTCTTTTATGCATGTGTCCTTTTGTGTGTAGTCATCTTTTTTGTTCTGGGACGTCTCTCCATTTTTGATGTATGAGTAGATGTCCAGGAGTGGGACCTGAGGTCCCCCTCTAGTTGTTCCTCCTTGGTTTAGGGTTTTTGTCTCCTCTATTCTATGTGTTAAAGTATTTTTGAGGCTTAGGTGGGGCTAAATCATGTGTAAGAAGAAATTTGCTGTTACTTGGCTAAGTTGGGAGTATTGCCGAGCACCATGGTCTCTACTCTGCGAACCTGAAGTGTCCCAATCACTTTCTAGCACCTTTGAAAAGAAAGGGGGTGGAGACATGAATATCACTAATGTTAGCAACAGATGTGCAGCCTTACAATAAATTTCCAGTGTCTACTTTGACATCTATAGCCCTTATTGCCAGCTGTATAGGAATGATGGTGCACTCAATTGTATGCATTCATTTCCAAAGTAAACTGAAGAGATTTCCCCTTAGACACAGATTGACCTGGGTGCAGTTTTCAAATATTCACTCCAGTCATTCTGTTTTACTGCTTTGAATTTTAGACACACATAAATACAAACAGTTCCCAACTCTAGAGTGGCTCAATCTAATTTTTTTTTTAATTTGGTGAGAAAGTATACCCACATAACCAATCTCTGTTTCACTTTCAGTACAGTATTCAATATATTATATGAGATATTTAATACTTTATTATAAAATAGACCTTGTGTTAGGTGGCTTTGCCATCAATTGTAGGCTAATATAAGTATTCTGAGCACATTTAAGGTGGTCTAGGCTAAGGTATGATATTTGGCAAGCTAAATGTATTAAATGCTTTTTCATCTTATGATGGATTTTCAGGATATAACCCCAGGCAAGCCAAGGAATATATGCAGTTCCAACTGGTCTCATAATGACAGAACTGAAATAAATCAAGGTCTTTAACTTTCAATCATGATACTAACATTATTTATTTCAAACCTACTATTCAAAGGTAGGAATATGTCATACCAAAAAGTTAGAGGCAAAAACTGTGCCCAAAGCAAGTTCAAACAATTCTGAACTTTTATGAACTTAATGGAAGCTATCCAAATTAACTTTCCTATAAAATATAACATTTTTTAAAGGGTGAATAATAAAATGTGCTAATTTAAAGCTTATTACTAAAAATAAATTTGTCATGCAAAGAGAAGTGTTAAAAAATTATCTAATTTGGGTTTCAAATATGTTAGGTATGACACCAGAAGACATACTGCTTTGGAAAATAAAACTTGATCTGGGGATATAATTCAGTAGTAGAACATTTCTGAAGCATGCACAGGGATTCAGCATCACAAAACAAGAAAAATATAACTTTCATATCATAGTCTTTCAAACTTGTAGAAAGAAATCTCAAAAAAAGGCCTCAGGATCAAGATCAAATCAAGAGTGTGCTCTGTTAATAGAAGATTCTTTGTTAAGACTTCAGAAAGCGATAAGGTGTGCACAGCTGAACCTTGTGGCTAGAAAAGGGATTATAATAATTTTAGGTACAGTATGAAATGCTCAACGATAGAAAAAAAACTTTCTCAAAAATAATTATAAATGTAGCTTTGGGGACCCAAAACCCAATTAGATTCATTGAAAATCCCAAAGTTTATAGGAATCATATTAGCAAAAACACCACCAGCTAAAACTAAAGCATACAAACACATACCAAAATGAAAAAAAAAAAAAGGCATGTGGAACCCCAATTTCTACACAGGAAGCCAGTTGAATTACTTGCTGCAGCACAGGCCATTTCTAATTATAAAGGAAAGATGTCTTAGAGAGTGGGGACAAGACCTCAGGAGCAGGGATGGGTTAGGGAACTACTCTCAAGAATTAAAACAAGACCCTAATAAAGACCCATCTGCCATCTCTGGAAGACAGTGAGCAGCTGCTGACATGTTCATGGCTGGAGCTGCTATACACCAGGGACTGCCAACTGTATCCTCTTCCTCTTTCTGAACAGAGGTTTATTGCTGTAATCCTATACTTATCTCAACATTGGGTCTTGGATGTGCAGGGAGCAGAAAATCTTCCTTTGTAGTTCATGGGTCTCTGAATAAAGAGAATTTGTACCCAAGGAATTTCAGAGGTGACCATATCATATCATGAGGTATTGAACTTTAAGCTTAAAGCCATAAATGGATAAGATTTGTGGTGGGGGAAGGGGGGGCATTGTAAAGTGGTGAGTATATTTTACATATGGAAAAAATTTAGTTATAGCTAAATAGTAGATTATGGTGGATTAAATATTACCAATCCTTTTATAACCATGAGGATCCTATTTCCCCATTCCTTGAATCTGGGCTGACCTCAGGAGTTTTTTTTGACCAATGAAAAGCAACAGAACTGACACAGACTTCTAAGTCTCTGAGGCCTTGCAACCACCTCTCCCTCTCTCAGAACACTGCTGCTTTGTAAACAAGTCCAGCCCAGCCCCATGAAGGATGAGACATCTCCTAGAAAGAGGAGGCCCATATTCCTCATCATCCCAACCATCCAGGCAACCAATTAAGACCCCAAACATGACAATGGGAGTGAGACCATCTGGAACCAGCCAATTGTCAACCCACACACCAACTTACGCAGCTATATCAATAAGCCTAAGAGTTTATAAAGAACTTCCTAGTTGAGCATAGGTCAATTTGTCCAACTTGGTTGTTGTTATTAGCCACTACATGTTAGTATAGTTTGTTATGCAATAATAAATAACCAAGACAGCCTTCCAAAGATATCTGCTCATAATCAACCTCCAAAAATGTTTAAATGAGTCGTACAAGGTCCACAAAGGTAAGAGAGAACAGAGCTGGAAAGAACCCAAGCATCTCAACTAACTCATCAAAGCTCTTTGTATGACTATAATAATCTTCTCATAACTTTTAAACCACTAAAACAAGAATAGAAAATAGAAATGGCTTAGATAAACTATGAAAAGTGGCTAAGGGAAATTTTAGAGGAGTCTTTAGCTAGGGTCATTGTTCAATTTCCATATAAATAAATATATTCCATATATACTTGATCAGGATATGTTTTTACACATATATACTAGACTATTCATACTACATCTCAAAATAATAAAGATTGTAAATATATAAGATACATTCTTTACTAAAGTTAAGCTCTATGAAATGCATTGTCATCCAAATGTTTTTTTATAATTAGACTATCTCAGAATTATATATATGCTTTTATTTCAAATTACTTAACAAAAACATTGTATGTAAGATGGGTAAGCAAAAGCAGTGATGGAAATAGAGACCATTTTAATATCAAAATATTGCATGCTAAATTATTTCCTTTTTCTCTTCACAAATACAATGACATGAACAAACTAGGAAACCATGGTGCAGAAATGAGGCAGATGTCGATGCACAAATTGACATACAAACACAGAAAACCATGCCCCACCACACAGATGGCTGGCTCTTACCTTTTTCTGACATATGGCAGATATTTCAGCTGTAAGGGGAAGGTACACAAAATATCAACAAAGAAAGAAAGCCCATTTTAAATAAGGGCAGCCGTGAAGGATAATTTTTTAAAAACAACCATAATTCACACAACCTTGAAACTCAGCTAAACAGCTTTGGACTTGTCTCATAAGTTGTCATCTACTTTTCCTGGCCTTTATTTTCCTCCTAAAGTATAAAATATCTCTTTCTTACCTAATAGTGACATCAGGGTTTATGTTTAATAAAGTTAGAAACACCTGCATGCAGCAAATATGTCACCTAGTCTCACAATTAACCCAATTTTCTCAGTTATGACTTAGAAATCAGATCACATTAAAGTCAAACAACTTTAACTTTAACCTCGTCATTTTATAGAGGACAAAATTAAGGCCACTATGGTTGGATGAATTCTTCAAGATCTTATAGCCTATCAATGATAGAGACATATGTATAGGTATAGTTCCTACATCCCCTATTCACTGGTTTATCCAATACACTATGATACTGGTTTGATATGATATATTTAGATTGCTATCATGCGATGCTCTGCTATATCTAAAGTGTAGAAAAAGCCTACTATCTTGGTCTACTTACACTTGAACTATCAATATATACCAGACTTAACTCATGTAAAACCAGCTGTATGGTTATACAAGATAAACCAATTCTCAAACCAAAGGATAGACCAGTTGGAGTAAGGCCATCAAACTACTGTCTACTTACAGAATTAACTTCAACAAATTCATAAAAAATCTTTTTAGTGGGCATATCCATTAGTTCCATGGAAATTGATGCTTAAGAAAAATACTTGAAAATAATTTTTCCAAAAACCTATTAGCATTTTCCTTGAAACGGTAAGGACTTAAAAAAAATGGACTAACGCCTTGTTATAGGATGGTCTATGTTACGATTTATTTAAAGATTAAAGGTAAATGTCCCCCAAACTGTTTGCAAATTATGAATTAGTGGATGCCAAGTCAATGAAATGTATAACTCAGTCTTAAAGTTGCTTTTGTATAACTAATGGTAATTTAACAGTTTGATATCCTTAAATAATCTGAGGTTAGTGTCTTATCTCTAGATAAATAATAAAAAGTTATGATTTTGGGCTGGGGATGTGGCTCAAGCGGTATCACGCTCGCCTGGCATGAGTGGAGTGCTGGTTCAATCTTAGCACCACATAAAAATAAAATAAAGTTGTTGTGTCCACCAAAAACTGAAAAATAAATATTAAAAAAGTTCTCTCTCTCTCTCTCTCTGTCTCTCTCTTTAAAAAGAAAAAAAAGTTATGATCAATTCTTCCAAAGATGAATGTCATCGACAAATGATGACCAAAATTCAGCAACATATCTTATATTTAAAATGTATTTTAAAAGCTGGGCACTGTGGCACATGTCTATAGTCTCAGCTACTTGGGGGCTGAGGCAAGGGAATCACTTGAGCACAGGAGTTTAGGGCCAGCCTGGGCAACATACAACATTGAGAGGCCTAATGGGAAAGGGAAAGGGAAAGGGAAAGGAAAGGAGGAAGGAAGGAAGGAAGGAAGGGGGGGGGGAAGGAAGGAAGGAAGGAAGGAAGGAAGGAAGGAAGGAAGGAAGGAAGGAAGGAAGGAAGGAAGGAAGGAAGGAAGGAAGTTTATTAGTACTTGACTATCAGCTTTACCTCAGAGCACTGGAAGCTCACTAATAAAGTAGCCCAGTTTAAGGGGGAAAAATTACCTTTACCCATAATACAAGCCCAAGCCTTCTGCAGGCCCAAGCCTTTACATAACCTTATATAACTTTTCACAATGTCCTTTTGAAGGAAATAAAGACTGACATATGGCTCTATTTTACAGAAAGCAAGTAAGACTACAAAGAAGTAGTGTAATTATCATTGAGAAAATGCCTTAAGGTTGTTGTTTAAATGGTCAAATTTATTAACCTAAGGTTTTAACTTTTTTTTTTTTTGACAATTGTGTTTATTATTGAATTAAAAATTCCTAGAGGAGTTCTTGATTATTTTATACCCACATTATATGGCACAGAGTAAAAATTCAATAAATATTTGTTGAATGAATGAATAAATTCAACTTTGCTTTCCTCTGAAACCTAACTTGGGAGGACTTCTCATCTTCATTTTACCATATTGAATTTTTAACCTTGATGCTTCCTGGAGTGTTTTCAGTTTTAACTTTTTTTTAAATGAGCCTTTCATATAAATCCTTTTACTATCTACATACTAAATCAGATATCAATTCTTCCTATGTCATTGATCTATACTCACTATGTCCCCAGTTTTTCCCACCCTTTGTCTTTCTCTGCTTTGCTAAGTACTTTTCCCTTGTCATTGTAGCCACCAATGAGGTGGCAAGAATACCTGCTTCTCCCATATGCAGAGGAATGCTCTCAGTAGGATCAATCAACTTTTTTTTAAGAGAGAGAGGGGGGGGGAAATTTTTTAATATTTATTTTTTAGTTTTCGGTGGACACAACACCTTTATTTTATTTTTATGTGGTGCTTTGGATCGAACCCAGCGCCCCAGGCATGCCAGGCGAGCACGCTACTGCTTGAGCCACATCCCCAGCCCAGATCAATCAACTTTTGAAACACAACTTTCAGAATTGAAACAAACATCAAAAAGTGTTGCAGGCCAGGTATGGTGGCACACGCCTGTAATCTGAGCAGCTCGGGAAATTGAGGCAGGAAGATCACAAGTTAAAAGCCAGCCTCAGCAACTTAGCAAGGCCCTAAGCAACTCAGTGAGACCCTGTCTCTAAATAAAATATAAAAAAAGGGCTGGAGATGTGACTTAGTGGTTAAGTGCCCCTAGATTTAATCCCTGGTATCAAAAAAAAAAGTGTGTCAAAAATCTTGTCTTTCCATTGAAATGGGTTAGATGTACTTTATCCCCATTTTAGTGTTAGGGAACCTGAGTCTCAGAGCAATTAAAGGTCATTCCCCCAAAATACAGTGTCAAGAAAAAGGCTCATTATTAAATTCTCTTCCCATTGGTGTTTTTTTTATTCTTTCTGACTGGCACAACAAAATATCATCGATAAACCTATTATATACACAGAAAATCCCTTACGACACAATTCAGCAGGGCTTTAGTCCTACAGAAGCCTAACTGCAACATCTAACCTTAATTCTGATAGAGTTGATACTTTGCCCCTCATTATTAAATGTTTGGATATATAATACCAAGACACTGATAAAATGAATATCCCAATGAATATTCATGGGATATTATTCTTTGGTTACTGTCTTTGTAAAATAAAATAGCACAAAGGGAGATGAATCAACCATGTCATTAGTTGTGATTACTCATTATTCACACTTTCTGAAGTAAACCATACCTTGTGGCAGAAGAACATCAATCAACCATTCGCTGTGGTCCCTATAAAGAAAAATAAAATTCATTTTTGAGCTTCATTGAAATGCTCCCCTTCCACATGAATGTTTATAAGCTGCACACTATTGTTGAAAGGCTTCTAATAGAAAGGATAATTAAGAGCACTAGCATAATAAACTTTTAAAACTCTAATGCATTCCAGCTAAATTATAAATTATAGGCATTTCATCATATTCAGTTATCTTTAAATGATACTTTCCAGATGCTAATTATGCCAACCAAAATACTGCATGATCTGCACAAAACTGAGTGTGACTGCAAAAATAACAAGCAAAGAGAAACCACTTGAATTACATGTCATATTTGGAAACCACAGTCTCCTTTTACATCTATTTTTCTCTGAGTCCTTTTTAAAAGGCTACTTCAAAATTAGAGCTGCTTTATTAAGTGGAATTGCTTTCTCGTGTCACATGGAGAAAAACATTGCAAACAAAGCTGTAATCTTCTAAATGACACTTTGCTACATGTTAAATGTCAAATGAACCTTTAAAAAACAGGGCAAGGGGCTAGGGCTGGAGTTCTGTGGTAGAGCCCTTGCCTAGCATGCATGAGGCACTGGGTTCCATCCTCAGCACCACATTAAATTACACAAATAAAATAAAGGCATTCTGTCCATATATAACTACAAAAATAAAAATTAAAAAAACAAAAAGCATGGCAAGGCTACTGGGAAAGCTGTGTAATATAAGCAATTTAGGTCCAAATAATTTTTTCTTATTTTCCCATTGAGAGTCCTATACCTACCCTGCAATCCTCTCACTGCATTCTTCACAGAGATACAATGGGGGTGGTTTATCCCCCAAAGCAACTGACAGGGAAGGGTCTATACACATCTGAAACACAAGAAAAGACAGATGAACTCTCCTGCTCCCGTATGATGAGATGAGTGCTTCACAGTGAGTGACACATTCCCACAGGCAAAGTGGAGTAGATATTAGTCAAACCCATTTGACCTGTGACTGCTCATACCACACTCACTGAGTGCACACTGAGACATTAATCATGGCTGTGGTGGGTTTTTATTTCTCCTGTTATTTGCAATTAAAGAACAAACAGTGTCAAGAAACCCACCCACATTCCACAAAGATAAAAAAATCATCTATTCAATGGCTGCTTAAAATAAACACAGTAATCTCCCTTTAAAAAAAGGAAAATATATTATTATTTAGATCTTAAAATCACAAATGATATGAACCTGCTGGCAGAAGAGAACTTAGCTTCTTAAGACCCATTCAGAAAAAATAGCATAAATCTAGCATTGAGTAGTTCACTCTTCTTACTCTGGAATCTTAGCTCTGTTAAAGTCATCTAACATTTCATTTTCATGTTTTTTATTTTTTCTACACATGACCTACAATTTTTCACCCCCAATGCTTTGTTGTTTATGGCTGGGGTTTCACTAACCCAAGTACTGATGAAAAGTGTTCACTTCACAGTTGAGTGTCAGGATATTTCAAATACCTGGATGTTTTAGATCTGGGGAACACATTCAGATGATTAGCTACATTTTGTACTTGGCTTCAATTTAAATCACAATGATTTCTCAAAGTCATTTCAAATTCTGTTCCCGGCTTTCAAGAAATAATCAACCCATGCTATACCAAATGACACAATGAATGTCTAGTATACAAATTCTTCTAAAATTTTACTCTCTTCTTTAGTTGTTTTCATTGATTTGAAAGGGGAAAATGACTCAAATTTACAACCCAAGACAGACTGCAATTCAATTAAAACCCTGATGAGTTTCAGTGGTTGGGAAATTAATAGTTAGAATTGCTAAATTTAAATCAACACACCATCAAAATAGTTAATTATGTATTACCAGATACTAAAGGCCTGGTTGTGTAAGTTTCATGCTTCCTTATATGCAATAATGAATAACTACTTTTTGTTAAATCAGAGATTAGCACAATTTCTCTATGAATGACCAAAAAGTAAATATTTTAGGTTTTGTGGGCCATACAGTCTCTGTTACAACTACTCAACATAGCATGAAAGTGGCCTTAGATGAAACAAAAGCAAATGAGAATAGATGTGTTCCAATAAAACTTTACTTACAAAAACAACCATCCAGCCAGATTTGGCTATGGATCATAGATGGCCCCAATCCCTGTCTTAAAATAATTATCTGGGATTCAGAGTACTTCATAAAGAGGATTTCAAACAGAACCAAGTAAAACCAAAAGCAGAGGGTGATATCATAAACCATAAGTTCCAGTATATTTTTAACATTAACCTTATTTATTGAAGCTGTTAACTTTTACTTAAAAATTACTTTTTTGCACCCTAATTTAACAAAAATAGATAATGCTTTCCTATTTGGAAAACCATGAGAGCCTGGTGGCATTATGGAAATTCAACCTTTTGGAAAGGATTAATCCATTTTTCCTGAGACTTTCCCATGCACCTTATCTATACTTTGTCTTGAGCATTATTACCTTACTCTCATTTCTAACAATTCATTGATACTTCTGCCAGATGTTCCACTCAAAAGGAAAAACTCTCTAGGATGTTAGCACTAGTGTCACTAGAGATTAGCTGGTTGACCACTTACCTTGTTAAGTGACTTAATTAACATGACCCACCAGATTTCTGGGCAATAGAGTCAATTCTGTTCTATTCTAAACAGAGCGGTTGACACCTTTCCTAATGAGTTCATATCTGGATGTTGCATTAAAAAATGACTGTTTCTGTTTATGAATAAAATATTTGCCCATTACAGAGGCTCAGGAAATGAAGAAAAAGAAGGAAATTAAAATAACTCATTAACTCTCCATCCTGATCCATTGCCTGTAACATTCCAATGAGTTCATCTTGGTTTTTTTACTGTGAATATGTATAGATGTGATATTTAAACTAAACTAGCATATTATGCAATATCATAACTTTGATTTTCACTTAATGTAATTTTGTAAGTATCTGGATGTTGGATACTTTTGATCTGAATGTCTCATGGTATGATGCATGCTTTCAAGCACTCACATTGGAAATACAGAACAATACCAGGTCTAAGTACAGGAAGCATTCACAAGAATGTTACCTTTCTGGAAAGTGTAGGGTTAAAATAGAAAAGAGAGTTCTTTAGGAAAACTAGAGATCGGCACATGAGACTTTGGTGATGAAAATGTCTTGGAACTAAATAAAATTAGGAGTTGTGTGAATGTACCAAATATCACTGAATTGTTCAGTTCAAAATTGTTAATTTTATGGTATGTGAATTTTACCTCAATTTTTTAAATTTCAGAAAGTAGGGTGATCTGACCTATCCTAGAGGACTGGCTTTGAGGAGGAAATTTAAGCCCAATCTAGTGGAATGGACTAGGCTGTTTGCCTAAAAGAGGAGAAAATCTAATTCCTGATTTATTTCTGTGATTAGAAGGCTAGAAAGCATTAGTAACAGATGTCAGAGAACTCCTGAGGATGCAGTCTGACATAAACTCTAGGAAAAAATAACTAGAGAAACCTGTAACAGGCAGACGGAAGGAAGGATATAGAAATAAAAGTAAGAAGGAACCATGCACATCTCATCCCTGTGAAAAATTAAGCAAGCTGAACTTCTTGAATAATATATGATCTCACATGTGTTTAGCTCAAAATACCTCACCACAAAGTACCTGTGAACCCCAATGCCTACTGAAATAGGAGGTGCACATGGTGGAATGGGCGGGCCCACACTTCCATTGGTAGGTCACTATCATCTGCTCTTTGTCAACGTTCATTAACTCTGCCTTCATCAGAGGCAGTTATGATATCTTGAGATTACCAGGTTGTTATTGGCACCTGGTTGCCACTTTTGGTGGCAAAATACATTTTTGGTTCTTTTTATATTTATTAGATCTCATTTTAACCATTCTTTGTTTTTCTAAAGTGATAGTATGATTTTCAATTATTTGATCATCTTCACCATCTCTCTATAGAAAAAGGGAAACAAACTCTCATGACAGTAGTTCTAAAAGTAACTGTGAACTCCAGTAACTTCAGCTGACACCAACTCCTCATCATTTGTCATTTAACCCTTACAAATGCAGACACTAATCTATCCAGCCAAGTATTTTATGTTCAACAAATACACCACACACAATTTTATTAAAGGATATGATTGTTTCTCTAACATTCAACATCCTAGATTTGGGGCTCTAGCAGGACCACACTGATCTGATGTTAAGAATAAGAATGAGGCTGAGCAAGTTCAAGAGTCTAATAGACCACCATACAATAATCATGGGAGACTTCAACACACCTCTCTCACCACTGGACAGATCTTACAAACAGATGTTAAATAAAGAAACTATAGAACTCAATAACACAATTAACAACCTAGACTTAATTGACATATATAGACTATACCACCCAA